AAAACATCGAATCATAGCATTGATTCTTCATTGGACTGGCTCTGAAAGAGCTGTCTATCCAATGGTCACCCGGCGTTGCAAACAAGGTTTTTGTGACGAAAATACACTTCCTGGGTACAGGTATATGAATGCAGTGACAAAAGATTACCGGATACGCATGCCTGGCGAGCGGCAAGAACCGCGAAACCGGTCGTGTGCTTCCATGGAAATTTTGTCCAGTGATTCGTATACTACTTTTTATGTATCTATAGGCAAATCCTGATATTGCTTTTATTCAGCGTGAATGAAAACAATATCGTTTGTGCCTTATGCCCTAGATTAGTTAATATTTAAAGCCTTGGACTGCTATTTGGAAAATAACCAAACACCTAAGTCAAAATTTCCAGTTATTTATATTTTTTTAAGATTGGTGATGTGAGTCCAAGGTCTACAATGGCCTCAGGAAATACTGAAGACTGCGGCACACAGTAAACGAAAATCACAAGTAAAAGCTGCTGCATACACGAGCGTCAAACTAAGATGCCGAAAGGCTCAATTCTTTGTTTAAATGAAACTGTATACCATAAACATACCTGCATTGCGTCTGCACTGGCATATCGGTACTTGGTCACGAATTCGTCTCCCAACCAGGTCTATTTTAAAATAAAAAGAAAGGAGGAAATAGTGAGGTAGAGTAAATGCGTCACTCAATCGTGAGCTAATCGTTTTCTCTATGCAGCCGTGGAAAATGTAATCTGATTGAGCCACACACAAACGATCAATGCGAACCTGGAAGGGGATTGATTTTAGACCCAGGCGACTGTTCTCACGTCACACGAAAAACTGGGCTTTTCCAACAGCTAAATCACTCTGCACTAATATGAATTGCATTTTTCATAGATGGAACGCATAAAAGTAGGACGAAACATCAAAAGCCATGCGAAACAGAATTTTGGGTTGCTGGATATCCGCGATATCTGATATCCATCAGTCGCAGTCAACTTGCGAGAATTCCAAAGCATCAAAGGCTGAATGTAAGTGCATCGCTACTGAGCTTATCACGATATAGTGCGGTTTAACATAACAAGTTGGTTAAAAGTTCATCTAAGCACTAAATTTTGTTAGTTTGGTTCGATAAAGTTCGAATAAGGCTGGTACTTAGTGAAGGACTTGAGGTTGATCCAAAAGGACGGCGAAGAGTGATTGGGTGGATCAGTTATTCACTCGACCACTGTACGGTATACGCGCCGCATGTTTACGCGACCCTAAATGATGCAGGCGAATGTGCCCCGTAGTCACTTGTTTACCTTTTAAGGATTAGACTTAACAGCAGAACATGTAACCCCATATTTTTAGTTTCATTTTTAATCCTAATGAGCGGTGAATTGGCAACTAGATTCCAATGAAAAATCTAATGGCAGTCGAGCAAGCCATTGAAAGCTGCGGTTCAGTATGCAGCTCATTTCATATGATAATCTTCCACATTCGAAACAACTTTTATTTCTACCCACGCTTTAGTAGGCATGCAATTTCATTTGAACTGTCCTACGAAAGCGACGGTTCTGTTTACCCAACTGGTCGCTAGGCAGCATGAAACACAAACAAATTTATTGTCTAAAGTCCAAAGAAATTATGTGACAATTCAAATGGTTCACTGTGAACTTATGTTATGTCTGATGATCATGTGAAGCGCGTCACGCTCCGCGCCTCGCATTGCGAGAGAGAGAGAGAGAGTGAGTGAAAAGTGTGTACGTGTATTACGCCCTTATTACTCACAATCAATAAATCAAACGTTCTACAGAAGCTGTTTATTGCAGCAACACCGTATGGAACTGAAGCGATTTTGTTCAACATAAGTGGATTTTCTGAAATTTTAGTTATTTTTTAGTTATCTTTCTGATTTATTCGAACGGTTGTGAGAAGGAACACATTGTATCGCATCAAACTTAAGCCTAAACGTAATTCAACTAAGGCCTTTTGAAATGACAAGGGTTTCGTGGGAAGCAAATGCGATGCTCCTTCTTAATCATCCCAGTGNAATAACGTCTTTATTTTTGAGTTGGTTTTAGTTTTCAATCACACGTCTGAGTCAGGTTAAGCTAATACAGCACATTCACATCAAATGATAGAAAACTTCTTATAGTTGTGGTTAGCGTTTCGATTTTTTTGGAAGAGATTGGGCGGTGCTTGTTGGTAATATTTTTTCATTCGTTATTTTTACAGGACATATCAACCTGTACTGGTTTCCCCAAAAGGGTTCATCGTTGAAAGTGCTTGAAAGTAAATTAACACTCAGCCGGCGAAACTGTGAAGGTATGTTATGCTTATGATAAGAGATAACTATTCAATGAAGACCGGCTATTCAATGGAATCGTGATGTAGAAGCTACATATTCTGTATAGATCAGATGTTTCAGGTTTGTACTCTCTATTCCGTGTGTGTTTTGTGGTCAATAAAGCTCGTTATTCTCGAGTTAAAAAGAATAGTTCATGCTTGTTAGAGCCGAAATTACACATGTTGGTCATTGATTAGGTGGAGACATAGAGCTCAACACTGATTACACTACACGAACACACAAAGAAAATGGCGCAGTGTTGGCACTTTTCTCCCCCGTCCCCGTCCCCCCGGTCCACACACACACATGCACGTACACTTCAAACTATCAAAGAAGATGTAGTTTAGAGCTATACAACATTAAACAGAAAAGAGACAAAAGTCAACTGTTGTAAAACGATGAAACTTCAAAGGGGTGGAATTCGCGAGAGCATGTCAACAATTTACAGGCATTGTCATTCTACGAGAGCTGCCAGTTGGGATGAGCGGAACTTTTCAGTCTCTGATACCAATTTACAACCTTGTCCGCATCGTTAAAAAGTGGACGATAAATTGAGATCAATGATCCAATCTACGCGACTGACCAAAGGAGAGAGGTCTTATATTTTGAACAGGTGAAAAATGTATGACCTGTGTTCTATTGATATAATAAACAATTTTAGATGAAAACGTTTTTTTACTTGCACTTAGGTTTTGAGGGTATAAAGCCTCCATGATAATGCATCTAGTATGATCCACGGAATTGATTATTTTTTAGATATTCTTTTGCTAGGGCAACGAAATTGGTTTGAACGCGAGAGAGGGTAGATATTGTTACGTGAACATATTAAAGAGTAGACAACTCAGCAAGGAAAACATGAATCGGTGTAATCCATCCTCCGCCTTGGAAAGTGGCTTATTCATAATCGTAACATATCTACTTTTTCTAATCCTGAAATTTTCTAGCCAATCCTGGTAGTCCGATCAGACCTACTGCGGAACACGTTTCGTGTTAAGCAGTTGCACTCAGTTGGACTATTGTTTGCTTTACGATAATGACAATGATGATGATCGTTTACTGTTTCGGTAGTGTTCTAATCAAATCCCGTGCGAACTCACATTGCGGCAAGATTATACAGAACATGTATTTGCTTTTTACACGGAATTAAACAAGAATACGGTTAATTCCCAAACCACGTGTGCAATGCTTGGACCAAGAGTTCGGTTCCCAATCCGAAAGGTCGTGATTTGGGTCTCCACATGGTCATAGAAATAGTACTCACTGCTATTTAGTCCGTATGAGAACATGACAGCTATCCTAGTTGGCTTCAAAATAGAGAAAGATACCTATAGACTTGCATTATACCACTTCTATAGAACAGGATGTGTGAGTATTTAGCAATCTAGAGTTGTTTCACTAATCTCCGTTATGTACACACACATAAAAAAGTATGTCACAATGAACAAACTAATGAGTTGCTGAACCATAGCCCAGGTTTTCACAACAAAATGTAACCAACGATATGTTGGCTACGTAATCTTGTTTTTTTGGATTTGTTGAAAATGGTACGACCCACAAATATATCGAGGTGGCTTCGTTTGCACACTCTCGTTACCTAAAAAATGCTAGTTAGTTCAACGTTATTACTCCGGTTCGGTTGATAAAGCACACAATAGGACTGATTAGTCCGAATTATGATCTACTGTTTAGTGTTTGCGAGTGCCAAGTTTTACCAAGACGATTCAATACCATAATAGAGACGCTTGGGAGGGCAGCTGCAGATGTGTTTGAAACCTAAGGGAAAGTAATATCGATGGGATTTAAACATGGAGCCATACATACCGGTGAATATTAGTGACAGTAACTTAAACTATTCGAGCAACATAGTTCGGGATAAAACTGGGTTACTTCAATTTAGGAAGCAACGACGAACCAAAATACTCGTAAACCAGATAGCTCAGTTCTAAATTGAATGATGACAGTTCCCGGTCTCGCGGGGGGAGATGTTCTTCCGATTTTGGTCACATGAGATGCAATTTACATGAGGAATATGTCGATCGACGGATGGGTCTTGATTCGTGACGTTTGTAGTTCACGCACATAAAGAGTGAAGGGTGGATGTGCAGGTTAACAACACTGAGGCAAAAGGCTACCAATGTGACAATATATCAGTAGTAAAGTTGTCACAGTGAATTATCTGAGGTATCTCTCAAAGGTCAGAGCCCTTGCCGATCATGTCAAGCCTAATCGTAGGCGTTGAATCATTGTTGTCGTGGATTTACGAGGAGTGGATTCACACATGCAGACAGCTGGGAAAAAATATACCAGTAATTTATTGGCAGCAAAACTTTGTTTTACCACATTTTTTCTATTTCAAATAAAAGCCCAGCTTTACATGTTACATACTGAACTGGTCATAGTATTTCACAGTTCGCCATCCCCGGGGTATATTCAGTCCCATGCACATTTGATTCCTAATTTATGTGCGCTGTACACATGGCAGGATATCATTAAATTTAAATCATGCTAGATTGGTACTGATCGTCATGACAATGATAAAACGTTAGTGTGTTTTAGCAGCACTCTTATCAAAACTAGTTCGCTAAATCAAGCTCAATGGAAGAGGTCCCTATTGATTGCGGTTCATTTGCTGACTGAGTTGAATCGTAATTTTTCTAAATGGTCTGGGTTTAACAATCCAATGCGCTCCAAGTGCAAAAACTAAGCATCCTATAAATGTATACCAACGCGATTGTAAAAGATCGTTTTGAAAACGAAATGAATTATCTGGTGTAAAGTGAGTGTGATTTGTGTTCGTTGACAATCCGGAAAACCAAAAATAAAGCACTTTTTACCATATCATCGAAAGTAAATTGAAAATTTTGGAGCAAGTTCACAGAAACGCGTATTCCAAGGGGTAAATTTTTGTCATTGGAAATTCCTCGATCTCTACCGATCGTACGAGAGTTTTGATATGTTTAAAAGTAGGTTTCCTATTTGATCATGGGTATGTTACTCAGAATGAGCGAGATTGTCCATAGGCGCTTTATATAAGCAGAAGAAAAGACGCTATTTTCTTGGTCGATTAACTGCTCAGGTAATTTCCGTGTACACGCTAGCTGCATACGGTGCGGTTCATCAGATCAGTAGATGCGTGTAATTGAAGCCATACTGCCTATAAAAAACTAAGGGTACTCTATAGGCACGTTCTGTATTCACGTTGCTATCCTTATCCATTGGACCTCTGAAAATTGAACTCGTTATCACGTGGTTTCCGCAGCCAACATGGACAGCGCTCTTTAATCATGTATTACGGCAAATTAAGTGTGACATGTTTCATTTTACGTGAATTGAGTAAAAAATCAATGATAAAAAACATTAGAGCGGAACGATGCTAAATAAGCGTAGTGAGGCAGTGAACAACAAACCTAAGCACAGATCACAGTGACCCAGATGATATTGTAACGACAAATCAAAGCGTCCGACGGCGGGAAATGGCGATTAACAGTGGTGTTGAGTGGAAGAAAGAGTTTGATCGCGCTACGGAACTACCGCCTGATCTCCAAGCTCAGGTGTTAGCTTTTGTTTTGAACAAAATATTACCGAAGTATTATTCAGCTCATGTATCAGTGGTTCGTATTGCACCCCAGAATTACGAAATAACTTTTATTCATAAACGAAACTCTAGAGGACTTGAATTTACATTCTCCTCGTTCTAAGATTGCAACAGGAATACAAGTTTTGTATTATCAACAAATTTGATCTGAGGAATTCGATTGAACTGAATGTACGGTGCCTATCACCAACGGTCATGTGATGATAAATACAGCTCCTGAAAATAGCGGGCTTTTCGTCAGTTTCGTGACCGAAAAATTTCGCGAACACAATTGCCATAGCAACCACAACCATAACAGCAACACGCAAATATTCCAGGTTGCTAAGTCATTGAACAAAAATAGGTCAGTAGTCGCGAATTTATGCCAATACGTGTGTTAGACTAAACCTATGACTCCATTGCACCAAAAACAAAACAACNACAACAATGTCACAATAATAATAGTGATCATAAACTGAAAGTCACCCGAAGCACAACTGTATGGACAATAAAAATTTGATTTGAAACAAAAGTACAGTAAATGAGTCACACTGATGAGAAAATGCAAATGCCACTCACACCAGGAGATTCGATCAACCCGAAATGATCATCACGTTCTTCGAAGAAAATCATATTCTGACTTCGAGTTGGCCAAGACAAAATGCAATCGGCCACCTTCTCGTGTTCCTCGAACACGCGCTCTGTAGCACAGAATACCAGAGCGACAGAGAGAGGTGAAGAGAGGGAAGAGGTGAGAAGTGGGAAAAGGATCGAGTTGGAACGTTCAGTGGAATAGGAAATAGTTGATCAAGGGTAAAACTTCATGGGATGTGTAGCGTTTGATGTCTTCTGTTTAAATAGAGTTTGCATTTATTGTCAGGTATCTAACCAAAACTTTTCAAATATAGAAAAATGAGGAAAACAAAAATGGAATTTCGTGCCTACCTGGTCCATATTAGAAAAGGAACGCTGACAAGAAGAAACCAGAGGAAACATGTAACATGTTAAGATGGATTTAACACAAATTTTTAATTTCGTGGTTCTGATTTTCAGATGATTCCGAGACGTACAAAGAATTATTACTCTTTGTGCTGTCTGATAGAAGTCTCATTGGATGAATACGAGGAGAGAACCAATTTTGTAAGTATCCACGGTGGTCACTGCTCTTTAACCCACATTGCTTGGAAGCCAAATATCAAGATCAATATACTGATTAACAAAAATACTAAGAGCTGAGGACATGGATCCATGTTCGTCCATTCTGATGCATCTGTCATCCCCACCCTTTAACTTGGCCATACTAAACTTGCTGAGTGGTGCATTACACGTAACCTAATTCCCACTTCTTCTAAATGCAGAGACATGCTGTTCTCACTTCTCAGGGGGAATTGGTATGCAAATTTCCTGGAATCCTGTCCTGTAATAGGCGTGCATGACGATGCTGCTACTAAGCCTGAAAGCTTTATCTGTCCATCGCTTTTTGATTCTTTATTTCCCTTTTGCTTGCATTTTGACTTTTTAGCTGTACGGATCTTCTGTGGGTTCACCAGGAACGCTCAAGAAAAACTTTAGGTTGATTTCCAAATACCTAGTATATTTATCTAGAAGTAGCGGGATTTCCTGTGAAATTTTACGTCAATTTACAGTGCCACATCACATAAAGTCATGTCTTTCGTTATCCACAAAAAAGACGCAGTTCTTATAAATTGTGTGTCCTCTCCTTCCACTATGACGGTATATTTGTTCGCTAAACCCACTACCCGTCTTCTGTGCTGCCTCATCTAGTCTTATTTCGTGTAAACCCAGAACGTATCTCTTCTGAACTACACTTACCTGTATCATAAGTTATTTTTTCCTTGCTTTGCAAAATTAAGGTGTAATTTATTTGCTTATTGCTTCCACGTTGACCACAAGACTGCTGAATGTTCACCTGCTGGTGTGCATCGGCATATGCTTGACTTGATTTAACTTGTAACTGTTGTGACATATCACCAGAAATTACTGACTTATAAATCGTCCTTAATTTATATCACCTAATCCGCGGGTTAGCGATCTCAGTTTGTCCCGAACATCACAGCTTCTCGGTTTTACTACTTTGGGAAGAAATATTAGTTTACATAACTTGGCTACACCAATCGATATGCTAACCTTGTCAAACGTACTCTCTAAAAAGATGTCAGTTGTACTACTATTCCAAAAATATCCAAATATTATTGTTCCTTTGGATATTTTACTCATAATACGGGTTTACCGAAACTCTTACCTCATTCACTTTTCATGTTTTTGCATCACCTATATTCTTGGATAGTGAAATCGTAATCCTTTTTTTCCATCTTTGTTCATTACTCACCAAGTTCATTAGTTTGTCTTTTTTAAAGCCACGCCATATTGTTCTATCGCGCATTTCCAAACGAATGCCCCGGTTAACTCCTATTTAACCCCCCCACCCGTACATCAGCCTCGTCAACTGAAAATAATTTGCTCCGTACAACTTAAGGTTATCTCGTTCGACTCATTGTGAAAAAGGAGATACCACTAAGCTCAGTATGATCTCCTTTGTTTGTTATCACTCTCTTGAGTCTATTCGGCACGGATGTCACTGAGCCGTTACTACACTGTATAGGTGTAACCCTTGAATTTTTCGAAAGGAGCTCTTCATGTTGCCTTAAGTTTTTTGCTTCGAAAGTGGTATCCTCGAAAAAGATGAAAATGGTTTTCATTGTGTGTAGGTTATTTCATACGTTTAAACTGGATGACGGATATTTTTATCAGTTTCACGCAAGCGATCACGAAGAAAAAATATTGCAGATTAAATGAGAACTTGAATACATAATTCGAGAATATGATATCACAGGAGAATATGTATATATTTCAACAAGCTCTATGCATGCCTCAGGCAACAGAACTAAAGTTAACCTCTGATAGTCATATGTAATGTATTTTCGACGTCAAAGTCATCAACCACGTAGAATTTTATTCTTTAGTAAGCATTATTCAAATTTCTTTTAATTTTTTAAACAAAACAGTTGCAACACATTGGTCTCCTTTTAGTAAAACTAAAACAGCAATACAAATCAATATGCAAGGGTTCTTAGAATAGGAGAGGGGAAGGAGGTCTTCAGAGAGTCTATTGATTAGCCTGAAAGGTTATTTACCTCCCAACAGACAAGTCTTTCCCATCATTATACGTACATTTCATAACATCATGTTTGAAAAATGCCAAACACAGTGTGGTCAGGATTTGTTGAGGTAATCTTAGGCAGAGGTTTAAGATGTACTTTTGGCGTTGACACCTGTTCTATCCGCAATGGAACCTCAAGCGCTAAGTTGAACAACGAATCGTCGAAAGTTGGTGTGTTTGTTCTCCCCGCACCGTTGATAGTATTGTTTTCAACATGATAAGAAGTTCGTATTCGACAGATGGTTACAGTACGATAAAACCTTGCATATAATGTAGAAAGTACATTTTGGAACGAATGTGAAGTAAGTTCACTTTGTGAACCAACTTACATGAAGGACGGAATTGGAGGAGGGGAATTGATTGACACCGCGGGTAGATCCGTTACCATTTAAAAAATGAAGGATCTTTAAAGTACACTTGAGTGATTTGGGCCCTTGAGTTAACATCAAGCACACACACTGCAGCTCGTTACGACACATAGAATAGAATGCAATTGCAAATAAAGCCTGTTAGTTCTATAGATTTCACTCGACTAGAAACAGGATACGAGGAGTACCGGAATGAACTGGTGAGAATTTCTTTCCCCGTGCTTATTTTCTCATAAGCTTTTGTGTAGTTAGTGCACGAAAAACAAACCCTGCTTCAAAAGCAACAGCATTAAAACAGGTGATGTATTCGAATCAGATACAATATCTTTAACACTATTCCCAAAGACCGATCATGAGTGCAGCCTGTCAACACTTAAGTGCAGATATTGCGTCAAAAACAGCTCATGGATACTGAGTGGGGGGGGGGGAAGAGCTGTCATGTTGCACAAAGTGTTTGATCTTTTTGTTAGCGGCTGTCAAAGTTATTTGACCTGAGTAGTAAAACTAAGTCGTTTCAACTAACGGAAGACTGCCTCAACTCTTTTGAGAGTTCAAGGGAAAAGCTTGAAAATACTAACAATTTGGCACCAGTTCCTTTTGATGGTCTAGCACAGAGCTTTCAAAGCAGGTCACTGGCGCAGCAGATATCTCCTATGTGTAGGAAAAATTTAGGAACATCGGCTCTTCTTTCGTAAGGATGAATGAAATCTAAATAAGCAGGGAGAATAATTGCTCTTGGTGATCAAACCATAATCCCGAAAATCATACATTTACCTAAATTTAACGATAAACTTTAAATTTATTTATTTTCCATCTTGCACTACGCAACACGCGTCTGTTTAAAACGAGTATCATGTTTCACAATCCCCCATACGAAACAAACACCATCACTTCCAGCGTGTCGATTTTGCTAATACGACCAAACAAAACGAGGCACAAATAGAATGAGTTTGTTTGATGTTGCTATTCTAACTAATATTTACCGGTCCGGTGGACTGATCGAGCCCGATCAGTATTTGGGTTGACCTCACCCGATGACAACATGTTGATGGTTGTTGTTCGAGGAGGAACTGATTTAGGGAAAAACGAGTAGAATTGTCACTTGAACAAAACCCTTTTTCCGTGGACAAATCGCGCCCGAGCGAACTTGTTGAAAATACTGACTGAAACATACGCGAATATTTTTTTGCGAACCTGACAACAACCCGAAAGTAAATTGGCTGTCAAAAAATCAGTTTCATGCTAAAGTGACCGGTGAACTGCTGTTGGTTAGAGTGAGTGGAGACAGTTAAGGGAATGGTTTGAACACTAANNNCGGAGAACTGGCTAACAGGGACAGAGTGAAATGTTTGAAGTCCAATACCTGCTCTTAAATTTGTAACGACAAAATCAAGAGAGGAAATAGCGCTCAGAAGCGTTTATTTAAGCTATCTTTTGAAGAGATTTTGGGGAGTCTACACGTATACACACACGCACATTATATATATATATATATATATATATATATATATATATAGATGTATACACATATATATCAGTTCCGACGCTTAGTTTCCATTTTTTGGAAAGGAATAAATTATTGAATTCATATAAATGAAAACATAAATAATCTAATCAAATTTTAATGCCCATTTAATGTAGTTTGATTCTTCAAAACAATTTTGGTCCAATAGACAATGGCAAAATAATTTGGCTTAAACGGCGGAAAAGAAAATAGATGGGCTTTATT